GGAATTCTTATCAGTGGGACTGGTCCCTGAACTCTATCTCAGACCCTTCCCTTAGCAAGCTGCTTTACTCCTAAACTATCAAGGAGGAGGAGGAGGAGCAAGGCTTCTGGCCACACACACAGCTCAGCGGTAAGCACATGCCCAGCATGGCGAGGCCCTGGGGCCCATCCCACAAAGTAAAGAAATTAATTTTTAAAACGAGGCTTCCCCTGAATGTCGGAAGGGTTAAAATGGCCAACAAGAGTTCTTGGGGTGCAGCAGCATCGGGACCCACTCACCAGTAATGGAATCCGATGTCGTGGTTGCCGGCAACCACCTTTAGCTGCACGTGAGCTGGGTGTCTGAACACCTTCTGGAACCTCCGAACATCATCTGCCCAGGCCTGAGGGGAGGCCACAGCTGAGCGTCAGAGAGGTGTCTGCCCTCTGGCAAACACAAGATACCAGCAGGGCCTGATGGGACACACTGTCAGCCCAGCACTCCAGGAGGCTGAGGCGGGTGACTGCAAGTTGAGCCCAGCCTCGGGCTGGGAAAACTTGGCAATTTAGTGAGACCTCATCCCAAAATAAAATAAAGTTTAATTTTAATTTTTAAAAAATTTACAGGCATGGTGGCACACACCTGTAATCCCAGCACTTGGGAGGCTGAGGCAGGAGGATCGCTGTGAGTTCGAGACCACCTGGGCTACACAGTGAGTTCCAGGTCAGTCTCAACTACATAGAGAGACCCTGTCTCAAAAAAAAAAAAGGTGGAGATGAAACTCAGGGCTAAGCTGATACCAGTACTATGAAAGAGAGGAAGAAAAGAAGGGAAGGAGGAGAGGAGGAGGCTAGGAAAAAAGGAAGGAAGAGAGAAAGAAAAAAAGCAAGCAAGGAAGGGAGAGACAAAAAGAATGAAAAGAAAGAAAGGGGGGAGGAGGGAGAAAACCCTGCTCTGATTTGAGAAGTCCAAACCCGACGGTCATAAAACTAACATGGAACTTAGGCTTTTTAACTCCACATCATAGTTCTTTTTTCCAAGACGACTCCAGTACTTTCAATTTAATACCTTAAGCTGTTCAACTTGATGCCACGTTTTAACTAAACGATGTTCTCCATTTACAACATTTTTTAAATGGAAAACCCCGAGGTACTCCATTCCCAGACTTAGCCTTTTGAGACCTCCTAAGAGGACCCAGGCTGAGGGTTGCTTCAGATCCGGACCTCTCACCGCACGGTCTGAGGAAATGCCAGGTAGATTCTCCGTGTCTCGACCAAGACAAGGCTGCGACAGCCTCCAGGGCACGTGGCCTCTGTGGCCAGCACCGAGGGGACATAGGCAGTGGACACGGGAGAAGACGGAAGCACCTGCACTATGCCGACGCCAGCCTGATCCAGGCTTCGGGCTCAGACTGGTGTAGTTCTTATTCTTAGAAACCTCAAAGTCTCAACTGGACCAAGACCACAAGGCAGGCAAGAAATGACCCTCTACTCTGGACAGTAATCAGCTTTATCCCAAATGCTTCAAATGCAGTGACACCCGGGAAAACATCTCAACGAGCTCCTTCAACATGATGACAAAGATTTCACCTTAACAGTTACTGCCTAAAGTCAGAATAACATAAAATCAGAACAACTAGCTCAGAAAATCATAAAATGCTGCCCTTAATTTGCAAAAGCAACACTGTATAATTTGCAAAACTAAGCCGAGCTCATTGTCTCACTAGCCGCTTTCTACAGATAGCAGTTCTATGATCTTGTATTTAATTGGACCTTGCCTTACAGCAGCCACGGGTCCCCAACATCCCTGAACCAGGACTGTTTGTGCAGCTTCTGCGGCGTCCTAGGAAATGTCAGTGGATCCTTCAAAACAAGTAAAATCCCTTCCCAACACCACTACTGAGTAAACACCCTAAGGGCGGCCCAGTCATACCGAGGAGGACGGGGTAAGCAGGGCCCTGACCTCTGCGGAGAAGCAGGCTTTCTGGAGGGGCACCACCCCCCCACCCCAAGGCCAAGGAGTCTCCCAGCAAGTCCCGGGCTCCTTCTGCACCTCTACTCAGAAGACATCAGAGGAACAGAAGTAGGCAGTGGGGTGCGGTCGCCCTCGCCCCCACCCAGGACTACCGGCGGTGTAAGGCTAAACTTCCTGGGGTCAGCGGGCCCAGCACCACTCACCCTCCCTGCCGTCTCCCAGCAGGGCCCAAGATACCACGTCCAACCCAAGCACATCTGCCCAGCCGGACCACACAACTTCCTTCAGGACTGGGGCAGACACAGCCCTGACAAGTTCAGACCGTACTCCTCAGTATCAGTACACCCTACGCCAAATGTCTGACTTGAACCAGTATATTGTGCTGCCGTGGTCAGCAATACTGTGGGGGTTTTCATTTTACAAGGTTGCCAGGCATGGTGGCGCACGCCTGTAATCCCAGCACTAGGGAGGCTGAGGCAGGAGGATCACTCAGTTAGAGGCCAGCCTGGGCTATACAGTGAGTTCAAGGCCAGCTCAAACTATATAATGACAGCCTGTCTCAAAAAATAAAAATAATAAAAAAAATAAATTTTACAATATTTACTACAGTGAAAGACACACCGCCGTGAGTGAATCCCCTCAGAACCGTCCACCTCACTTCACACACACTCCTCCCATTGTCCTCACCATGTTCTGCAGCAGCTCTGAGTCCTCTTTCCTGGGTGTCTTTTTTTTTTTTTTTTTTTTTGGTGCCAGGGATCGAACTCGGGACCTTGAACTTGTAAGGCAGGCGGCGGCACCTCTGAGCTAAATGCCCGGCTTTCCTGGGTGTCTAATGGCACTGTCCTCGATGCCTCGATGCCCTTAATGTATTCAAAATGTGTAGACTTTGAGAAATAGCCAGAAGTCACACAGTCTCAGATCTGGCCAGTAAGGTGGATGCGGGCACAGCGTCGTGTTCTCGTGAGCTGCCTTTCCTCTGGGTGACGCTCGGCAGCATTCCGTGTGTCGCTGATCACACTGCCTAGCGATGCTCGCTAAGGAGGACTCCAGAGCTGCTGAGGAAAGTGGCGAGACCATGGGACCGGTGTGTGCAAAGCGCAGTGATCCTGAGGGGCTCTGGCAGGCTGCGTGTCACCATAACAACTTCTTTCAGCATCCAAGCACCGCATCTATTCCGAGCACCTGGAGCTCAGAGCTGGGCTTCCTCGCAGCAGGTCCTACCTGTGGTGAGCTCCACTTCCCCTCGTCAAAGATGTCGCCCAGGATAAAAACGACTTCAGGCTGCAGCAACCACAGGGCCGTCTGGAAGGCTCTCTCCATCTGCCATTCCCTGGGCGCAGGAGCAGCGGGTGTCACTGACCGGTCCTGACCTCCACCCTCTGTGCCCGCCCCTGCCCTCACGCTGACCCCCATGGCGCATGGGGAACTAAGGCGGCGGAGGAGCCCCACACTGCCGATGCTGAGGCCCAGCCATGGCTCCACCTTGAGCCTGGGAGCAGGCGGGATGGCTCACAGAAGCTGCGTGCCACATTTGGGAGACGGCCCCAGGCTGTTCCACGCGTGTGCATGCGTGCGTGCCTGTGTGTGGGGCTCGGCTCTGTTGTACCAAGTGGGTGCTTGCAGCAGGCTGCACCCCAGGCCGAGAGGAAAGCAGACCTCAGTAAGGCCAACCCGTAAGACCCACAGGAAGCCAGGAGCTGCATCTCCCCGGCCACCTCTGCCTGGCTCCGTGGTGACGGGTACAGGGTCCCCTCCGTCCTCCTGAAAGAAGGCAGGCGATGCCACAGAGGGAGAGAAGCTGGCGGTGGCCACTAGGGCAAGGAGAGGCCCCACTGCCGTGGCCAGTACCGCCTGGTGACACTGTCCCCGAAGCTGGGGGGGCACCCACACACTGCCTCCACCAGGTGCTTGGGAAACTGATCTGCACACAGGCAGGACTCAGGATGGACGTGGGACAGGATGGACCTTGGGGACCACGCAAGTGGAAGTGAGCTGGCCACAGAGACAAGCATGGTGGCTGTCCTTGGAGGAACCTGGAGTGGCCGGTCAGAGACAGGAGGGAGGACAGAGGTCGCCAGAGCCAGGGGAGAAGGGCGGAGCAGTGTCCAGGGCCTGGGTTTTCTCTGGGGAGGAAAAGCTGTGGTGACAAACGGTGGTGACAGCTGCCTAGCCATGGGATGCACTCAGTGCCACTGAGCTGTGTGCTTAAGACAACGAACCACAGTGCGCGTTTCACCACATCAAACGCAAACACAAAGCTTTCTGGGGGACAAACAGCCGACGGTGCTGGGTGGGGAGCGGGTCCCCCAGGGTGAAGCCACTCAGCAGCCTGACACCCAGGGACAGGAATCCCACGGCTGGCGCTCCCCCGCACCGGCACCAAGCGGCCTTCCTTACCCGGCCATCCACGGGGCGGGGCCACGTCACTGTCCAGCCACAGAGCTCCACAGCGACGCCCAGGCCTGAGCCCAGACCCAGCCCTGCACCCAACAGGCCCTCCGCAAACCGGGACCACAGAGTCCCACAGCCCAGCCAGAGGGGAAGACCGCGAAGCGTGGCGGCTGTGTGGGAGGGCTGGAGCTCAGCCCACGCCCGGGCCTGTGCCGATTGCTCACCTCCGCAGCCTGTCCAGCCAGTGGCCCTGTACTTCCCCGAGCAGGTGGGTGTCGGCCAGGAACATGGCTCTCAGCACGGGTGGGGGCTCTTGGCCCTGGCCAGGTGCCTCCACCTCCGGCCAGCGACACCGGAAGATCACTAAGTAGTAGATCAAGAATTCGCAGAACAGCAGCCCAGCCGCGACGACAGCCGTGAGCTTGAGCAGCAGCAAACTCCTCTGCAGAAGGCGGAAAGCCCGCCTTCCCCGCCCCAGCCAGGCTCGGCCCATGGCTCAGGCCCTGAGGAGTCTGGGAGGGAACAGCGGGGGCAGCCAGGGTGCAGACGGAGTCCAGCTTAACCGTGTGCCTGCCGCAAAGAGAAAACACTGCTTACGTTCACGCGGCAGCATCACCGCCTCCCGCCTCTGAGACGTGAATCTGGAGCCCTGTTCACAGCCCCGAGCGGCCGCCACCTTCCCGGCATTCTGCTCTTGATCTATTCACACTGGGTTCGTGGACGAGCTTGCCTGTCAGGCTCGCTTCCCTTGACGTCGTGGTCTCCAGCTGCACCCTCTCTCCCGCAGATTCCCTTCTCCGTGGCAGAGCAGTACTCCCTGGTGTGTGGATGCCACATAAAGGTAGAGGACGGGGAAACGGGCACACGGAGAAGGAAGGAGACCCAGAGACGGAGAGAGGGAAAAGAGAGAGTAAAAAGAACTAAGATGCACTGGGTACATGCACCAACCACCCACAGGGACTGTAACCTCTGCGCACCGTGAAAAAACACCCATAAAAATTAAAATTAAAAACTGAGCACATTCACACGTGATACAGCGGACTGCTAATAAGAAAACAGCGCCTACAGGGGATGTGCTCAGTGGTTTTGTGCCTGCCTGGCAAGTGCAAGGTCCTGAGCTCAATCCCCGGTAATGAAAGAAAAAAAAAAACAAGTCCTTTGACGCACCTCTGCCTCTGTGAGAGGAAAACGCTGCAGGATTGCGCTGCCCACCGACAGGAGGACTGCGGACACCCCAGAAACTAAGCACCGAGCAGGGCCCTCCACAGGGAGGCACTGAAACACGAGACCCCGTGGGGGAAGCCGGCAAATATCACAAGGCCGAAACCCTGACTCCCAGAAAGACCTCCAGTACCTCAAATATCAGCAGGTTCACCTGGGCCTGGCGGTTCACAGCTATCACCCCAGCACTCTGGGAGGCTGAGGCAGGAGGACCATAAGGTCAAGCCCAGCCTGGGCAACAGCAACATAGTGAGACACTGTCTCAAAATACATGAAAAAGGGGCCGAGGATGTAGCTCAGTGCGAAGACCCTCGCTTCAATCTCCACGACCACGAAGAAAAATATCGCAACAGATTCCTGTGGCCTTTCCTACCCTGCTTTCCAACAGGGAAAGGGGTATTTGTGGGTGCTGTGCTTCAGAGGCCTGACACCCACTCCGCAGGTCCGCTGGGGATCACACCCCACGTGTGACAATCCGTTCGGCACACACTCACGCTCTGCACAAACACAGGCTCCCCACCACGGCCTTGACACCCAGGCTAAGGGACCAGTAGCTTCTCTTTGGGAGCCTCATCCTGCACCTTTCTGGGAAGTCCGGGGGCAGGGCCGGTGCACGCTGGGTCACTGCCTCATCCTGGCCAGCACTGGAGGGGCGAGGGAAGGAGGAGACGCCCTGGGGCTCACCCAAGGACCTCTGTGTGCCGAGCTCACCTCTGCCCCTCACGCTGTCGTCACAGAGCTGGCACAGCGCTAGATTCCATAGTGTGGCCTTCTGACTCCTCCTGTCCAGCAGCCCTCCAGCCCGCCACCCGCTGCCCCTCCTGGAAATCCCCAAAGCCACAGTGTCCCTTGGCCGCTCCCCGCTCTCCATGGCTCCTGTGGTGACCTGCAGGGGACACTGGAGCAGAGTCCCAGGTGAGACAGCCCTGGAGTGCCCTGCCGCAGCCCCAGGACGGAGCCCACCTCCCAGTCCGACTGGAGAACGGGCCCACGGGTGTCCCAGTGACAGCACAGGCTGGGGTTGGATTCCGCTTGGCTGGTGCCGGTGACAGGGAGTAGCAGCGAGGACAATTCTTAAAGCTGCCATGCCCTGGTTTTGATTAATCCAACTTAGCAAAGCCAAGGGTCTGATCCTAAAATCTCATCTGCTTTCAGAAGACCTGGACTCTCCAAGACTCCTAAACCCAACCCAGCCTGCAACTCCCAGAAGACAGCAGAGGTCGCTCCACCCTCAGGTGGGTGGAGACACCTGGGTCCCCAGGAAACACCCAGGGTGCTTCCGGCCCCCACCTACTCTGTCCCTCCTCTTAGGTGTGACTCAGGTGGAGGCCGCCCTGCCCACAGGGCCCCCGGGGGCCCAGCGGAATCCAGTTCCCTACAGCTGCCAGGGTCCCTGCAGGAGGACCACAGGTGACAACCGCAGGGGCTCTGGCCTGCTCCAAGCTCCCAGTTCTCCTGCACAAAGAAAGAGCAAGCGTGGAAGACAGGAGAGAGGGGAGGGAGGACAGGCGAAGGAGAGGAGGGAGGGAAAGTGAGACACCCAGAGCAGCTCTACCACCCACCTGCACAAGGACAGGAGCGAGCGAGAGCCGTCCTCCTCAGCTTAACACCAAGCCCCCAAGACTCCTTGGGCTCGGATTTGAAAACCCTTTTCCTCTGCTGGCGGAAAGGCCCTCCCCACCCCCCAGGAGCCAGCCAGCGTGGGGCAGGGAGCAGGAAGGCACTGCTACCCCCACCACAGCATGCAGAAGGGAACCTGCCTGGCTCAACACAGCCGCCAAGGCACAGAGAGCTTCCCCTTCCCAGGCAGCAGCGGGCAGGCGAGTCAGAGGCCCACAGGCAGCTGCCCTGCCCACCCTACCTGCTCAATCTTGGGCCCACACACAGCTGGAAACATCTCAGAGGAAGGAGCCACAGCAGAGCTCCCGGGACTCCCAGTATGGCAGCACTACTCACTGGCCAGTGCTCTCAGAAGAGCGAGGGAAACGTGTGCATTCATGGCTGACCCAGAAAACTCAGGACAGGAGGCTGGGTGTAGATTATATGCTAGGTGTCATCTTGCTTATGATTCTATCCATATCAGAAGCTTTCTATTGCATTACCAGATTTGGGGTAAAAAATCAAAATGCCATAGCTGGGCATGGCAGCACATGCCTGTCATCCCAGCACTCTGGGAGGCTGAGGCAGGAAAACCTCAAGTCTGAGCCCAGCACTGGCAACTTAGTGAGATCCCACCTCAAAATAAAACAGGGCTAAGGATGTAGCTCAGTGAGAAGGCCCTGGGTACCAGGGGAAAAAATTGAAATTATTTAAACTGCTACTGTTTCCCTTCCCAAGCTGATTTGTCAGCATTACCAAGACCACCGCGTAGCAGCCCAAATGAAACCTCACATGGTCACCGCAGAACAGTGCAGACGCCGAGGATGAGAGGCCAACACCCTCCGGACCCCTTCTCACAAATGGACCCAGCTAAGTAGGACCCTGATGGCCTCGGCCGGGCAGGACTGAACCTGTGATGTCTTGATTTCTGGCATGACACACCTTACCCCTCATACCACCGTGACAATAAAAATGAATGAAAGACCACTCGTATCCGCTATCACAGAACTTTTCAAAAATCTAGGAGAGACTCATTATTGGCTTATGAGACCAATTTGGTGACTTGTGACTGAGTTTTTTTTTAAAATAAAAAATAGCCAGATGTGGTAGTTCACACTTGTAATCTTTGCTACTCTGGAGGCTGAGGCAGGAGGATCATAAACAAGTTCAAAACCAGCTGGGAAACATATAGATCCTCTTTCAAAAAATAAATAAAAAGTGCTGGGGATTAGCTCAGTAGTACAGGGCTACATAAAACGACAGAACATACTAGCTTGTAGGGCAGAGCAGAGGCAAGGTGTAGGATACCCCAGGACACTTCCATCGCCTTCTGACACTTGCGCACCTGTGCACCGGTCGGTGGGGACACAAACGCACTTCTCCGAGCGCTCGCCTCCTGCTCACTTTTCCCTTCGGCCCCACACCAGCTGCGCACACACAGTAAGGGCTCAGCCAGTGCCTGTGACTCGCTGGCTTGCACCCTCATTTCCCCAAACATTTTAGAATTACACATACACACACTCTTCACTCTTCTGCTCTACTGCCGTCTAAATGCTTAAAATCCGACACTCGTAGAAACGGAAGAGCTGCAACGTGGTCCCTATTTGCTGTGACAAAAAGGTTTTGCTTTGATGTTGGGTGGAGGAGGTTGGAAATGGACACCGAACATGCGTCCTCTCCCACGCCTGTGTGGGGCCCACAAAGGAGAAGCCGGTGCCTTGGGCTCGAAAAGTGACGGCGATTTTCCCTGAAGCCTTTCTGGAGAAACACCCAGAAGAGCCAAGTGACTCCTCTCTTCTTCCTTTGACCTGGGGTCCCGGGCAGCCAGGAAGTCCAATCCCTGCTGCATTTCTTCCCAGCGACGCAGTCCGGGGCAAGCCACTCCAACGCAGAAAGAAACACAGTCCAGAAAGCTAGCTGGCCCTAAGAGGAGGACTTCCTGTTGGACCTAAACGCACTACTTTCTGAAGGGGAGCGCTGGGGATCAAGCCTGCTAGGTAAAGGGCTCCAGCGCTGAGCCACACCCCAGCCCTGACACTACTTCTGTATTAAACATGGAAGGAGGTGGAGGATGAGGGTGGAGGAGGAAAAAAAGTCAGGAGAACCGACAGTCCCCTCACCTCACCTCACCTCACCTCTAAAGCTTGCTGCTGGTAAGGAAGATCAGTACAAAGGCTCTAAGTTGGCATCTGCTTCTCAAAATCAGAGTGAATTTATCTGAAACCAAAGAAAATATGTTCCTTTGCTGTGATCTTTCACTGAACGAGCTCCTGGCAGGCAACCTGACTGAGGAAGCCGGAAAGACAAAAGGAAGCCGAGATGACCAGAATGACCCTGGAGCTGTTGGTCCAGAATGAGTCTGTCAAGAATACCGCGGGCTGCGGGCAGAGGGGAGAGGAACCCTTCCATGCTGTTGGCAGGAAAGCAAAGTGTGCAACCACTGTGGGAACCAGAATGGAAACTCCTCAAAAGCCTAAAAACAGAAATTCCATTCACCCAGCTAACCCCCTTCTCGGCATCTTCCTGAAAGTCAGACATCAAGGTACAGGGACCCGGGCACACCCTGCTTACGGGAGCAGACTCAGGTAGCTAACCCCGGGAAGCGGCCTGTGTCCCTCAAAGGATGAAGGGGTAAAGAAGACGTGGTGTTCACACCCAGCGGAGCACTGCTCTGCCCTGAAGGGCAGACTTGAGTCACCGGAGGAAAAAGGCTGCGCCTTGAGACCACGGCCCGAAGAGACACAAACCAGACACACACGCTTAAATATCAGTTTCTTTTACATGAGAAACTCAGAATATGAATAAAGCGCAAGGAGAGTTAGAGACCGGGAAACCGGGAGCCCGACCTTTTGCAAAAGGGAAGGGGAAGAGAAGGAGGGAGGGCAGGGCAGGGGAGGGGAGCGGCGGCGTCATCACACGCGCCGACGCGGGGACGCAGTCGCTAGGCGCTGCACTCATGGGTTCATGAAAATAAACACCGGAGGAGAAAAAGAAAGGACTGTCAGGGCCAGGCGTGCAGCTCAGCGGACGCTCGAAACCCGTGAAGCCTGCACGCCAGCCCAGGAAGGAGCACACAGGGCTCCGAAAGCCTGTTGTCGCGCACAGCGAGACGCGCACGGCCCGCCTGGGCTTGGGCGCTCCGCGGCACCCCAAAGGAGCCCGAGCCGTCCTCACCGTCCCGGCGACGCT